TTCCAACCTTAGTGATTCTGTGATTAATAAACCCATAGAGCTCTAAGAAGATAAAGGTAGTTCTACACTTACTTAATATTATGCAGAATTTTATAAAGAGGATAAAATCTTCAAAGTGGTTCAGTAACCTGTATCACAGTCCATTTAAATAATAAATAAAAAAATCTGATCATGTTAGCATGAGTAGATTCTGATTATGGATTGCTGTAGATTGCAATATGTTTTGAAAGAACCATCCAACTAATCCTTGCCAACTATCTGATCAGAAAGGCAAGTCACCAGTTACTGTTGATATGGAGTATAAAACCTTAAGTGATTGTACTCATATAGGAACACCTGTCTACTTTTATATACTTCACCTTTGCTGTATCATGGCACATGTCCTATCATGAAACAAGACTGCTGACTGAAAACATTCTAGTTTGTGAACAGAAAGGGAATATGAAACCATTGCTGTTGTGGCTGATTTGTTGCAATACTGTAAACTGGAGTTTGTTTTTAGCACATTTGTTCAGTTGTGTTTTTTTAATTTAGAATTAGTTGATTTGTTTTTCTTTTCTCTTTTAAATAGTTGCATCATCCTTCATTTAATTCCACTGTGGCACTTAAAAAAGGCATATTCCAAAGATTGTTTTCTCTCTCTCAATAGCTGTTCAGTGGCACACTTACATCCAAGCTCAGATACAGGTATGAACTGCAAAATACACATCTATTCTCTGCAGGTTTAGGGAGGACTTCCTCCTTACTAGATGGACTTTTTTTAGATATGAATGTCAATTCCCTAGTCATAATGAAATAAGGCTTAAAAATGCAAATGAAACATTAAGAATTAATTCAATATTCTTCTCCCCTATAACTCGATTTCCTTCTTTACCTTCACTTGCTCTTCTGTATTCTTTCTATCAAGCTATCTCCAAACCAAAATAACCTAGGGGTAGGCTGGGAATCTCTTACAGATCTCCCATAGGAAGAAAAAACCCAAAACTGGGCTGACAGAAAAGTGCTGCTTCATGCTCGGAAAGTTTTAAATCAAATATATACACAACTTTAAAGCGCAGCTTGTAAATAATTTTCAGGTGTTTTCGAGGCATGACATTTAAATAAAAAATCCCACTGTCCTGAAGATGAATTTCAAAAGAAAACCTAATGACCTAAGATATATCAATGCCTATGTCAAAAGTAGTTGTGTGCCTAAGTATCTTTAAATTTTAGCACATTTGAACATACAAGAGAAGCAAGGTGAGTAACCTTCATGCTGCTGAGCAAACCGTCCTCTCCAACATACTGGCCCTGGCCCTAGTCTCCCAAGAGCTGGCCAACTGACAGACAATCAGTCTTGGATTTCTGGCAATTCTCATTCTGAACTTGATCATGAAAAGTTTCTCTAATAAGCTGCTTCTAGGGTAAAACCAGGAAAGGTTTCCTCCACTCCACCAGTGGTTTCACACAGACCACCCCCTGTTAAAGCTAGGCTGGCTTTTTCTAGGTGCAGAGTTGAAAATTCCTTCCTGCTGTTTTTTAATGAGCTTTGCAGATAAGGTGAATGACACTGGCCATCTTCAGGGAACAGATCCCCCTCCTCAGTGACAAATGACAAGTGTTCTTATCTTGGATGCGAGCCAGTTTTTCTCATGAAGGTAATGGAAGAATTTGGGGAGCTTGGGGACATACTCTGAAATTTGGAGTTAAGCCATTCCTAGCTGTTAAAACTCACTGGTGAGAGAGTGGATCTGCTATATGTAGACTGTCAATGTTTCCTTTTCAGGTTCCAATGCTGTCAGTCTGGCATCTTTCATGAGTACTTTGCGCTACAGAAATTAGAGATGGAAAAGACCTATTAGGTCATCTAGTTTACCTACCTGCCAGAGCAGGATTCTTTCCTACAGTATGTATTTGGCCACAAGAGCAGATGGAGATGTAATAATCAGATGCTGCAGTAGATTTAATAGTAGTAGATTTAGTCTTCAGAAGTTGTGATATCAAAATTACAGACCTCACCCAGCACATGCCTGCAACTTTTCTGAAGGGAAATATATCCTGGTAGACTCCTGCTCATTATAGCTGTCTTCCTGCTATCATGTTCAATACAATGCACCTGGACAGGTATTACATTTTATTAGTTATAGGACTTGCTGTTTTATGCTTGAGGAAATGGTACTTCATGACAAAAGAAGATAAAACTAGAAGGATCAGACAAACTTCAATGAAAATAAGTAAGCAAAATAAGAAAGCTGAATAAGTATTACCTGACAGTTCTTTTTTGCCTCAAAATCACTCCGCCCAGACTGCTTCTCCTTACTCAGCTTTAGGTCACTTTCTCGGAGCAGGTAGCAAACCAGCCATTTATATGCTGCTAAAGGAACTGTAAAAAAGAGAAAATTCAAATTCTTAGCATTGCCATTTATAATGCAAGAAGTCACCTGCAGATTCTACTACAGTCTCAGTTTTTGTTACCAGAGATGAAAAGCTAAAGTGTTAGTTAATCAATCCACTAAAATGACACTTTTGCCATTAGTGTAGATGCAGAAAATAACAGCTGCATAAGATAGTCAGATTGTGACTGCACGGTGATGATGTACCATGCCTGACCATACGCTAGTTCAAACTGACCTCAAGCTAAAAGACAAAGTATATCCGCATCTCAGGTTAGACACAAATACCTTCTGACTCGATCAAATTTTTAGTGTGTTATTTTCTTTGCATATTATGACTTAGGTCTACAAGGTACTCGGTCTCTTCTGAGAATACAAGAACAGAAGACATTTTGTGGACCCACCCCTTTGCAACGGTGAAATGATGCTTCATACTGTCAAGCACATGACTTCTGAGATTACAAAGGTGGCTGAATGTAATCGCATTTGAATTAACTGCATTGTACGTAAGCGCTTTATATTTTTTGAGCAGCCTGGAACTATTAAGGACAAAAGTACTTCAGCATAAAGTTCTTGTATAAATCCTGCTTGCCTGTATCTTAGCTTAAGATTTAATGTAGAATACTATTTAGGCAACTGTGAATGTTCACATGCTGCCTAAATTTAGGCACCTAAATTAATAGTCCAGTTTCTAAGAGAACACAACAATAAACAGATTCAGATACTTTTAAAACTGTAGTCTGACTCAGCAGGTATTACAAGAGAGGAGAGAACATATGCTTAGGTATCAATTTGTCCTCTGCTGGATTTTACAAGTTAGAGACACACAACAAAGAACAAAGAAAGCTGTTGTTTTGAACTAGTCTTTTTCTTATAAGCCTTTGTATTTTGAAGTTATTCAGATTTTACCCCACAGCTACTATGATTATTATCTCACTTGGTACTATGCACCACTATCTGAAGTTCTGTTTTTTTGCAATTATTTGAGCACTGAAGTGGTTACTGAATTCTAGGAATCAACTCAATCGCCACTTATATACTGAGTGGAGTTTCTTCCCCCAGTATGTTCTCAGTTTCACAGATTCACTTTTGCTCAATGTTCTGTCACTATCTCATCTGCTCATTTCTTTGTTAATTTTTGCCTCCAAGGGCCAGTCTGGGCTCACAGTGATACAAAAGTGGGAATGGCATGTAATGTCATACTTGGTGCAATTATAGCAGAGTAAGCCTGCAGGAAAACTGCAGGGAATTTTCTTTCACCATTACTCATTTTTCTCCATGCAACCAAAAGCAACTGTCAAAACTGCAGACACTTGAAATCTTTTCAACATATTTCTAAATCACTTCTATGGTTTTCTAAAATAAAACATTTTAGTGACATAAGGTCATGGCAATCAATGCCCCTCACAACCGCTTCACTTGAAAACAACAATTAAATGGCAAAACCCTCTAGATGCTCTTTGAGAGGGACAAAAATATCTGATGCTACTCTCCATTCTAGAATAGAGGCTGGGGACAACAGGACATATTTTGAAATGCAAACTGTGTTCTTAGTAAATTGAAATGCATATAGAACAAAGAAAGTCAGCAAACAGTAATATGACAAATATCTAATAAGTACCAGAGGTTGAATCTCAAATCTCTGGAAAGGAATTTAGGATTCTAGAATCAGTTTAACAACAGCAAAAGGCTACCTGAGGAGTCCATGCAATCGTCAACACTAATGGCTGTGAATTTCCAGCCAAGGATATGATGGTAGTCTTGCAAAAAGTTTATTGTTCCAAAAGGAGATTCAAAAGGAGCTTTATCTGGAATGCCAAAGAAAATAAAAATTATTTATGCGAAATCAGACTCTTTGGAACTAAAAGTCTGTTACAAAGACATGCATCCACTTGATAGGCCAGATGCAATTAGGCCATAATATTTATTTTATTACAGCCTAGTCCAGCCAAATGAGGACTGGTGGACAAGTGCTGAAAAACCTGACATCACTGTCTACAAGCCCCCTAAGACTCAAATGCAATTGCTGAGTTTTATAGCTCTGTAAGATGGTGGGGAAACTCACTCCTAGAAAATTGAATCAAAATCTAGAGAACTACAAAATGTACTGATGGATATTGCTACCAAGTTAGGTGATATGAACTGTTTTAAGTACAATGAGCAGAGAGTACTCAGACTTACAGTGACTTCAGGAGTAGTTCCACTGAACTCAAGTACACTCCTCAGGGAGCATGATACTACTTAACCTGATGAGGGATGGCAAAACATCTAGCTAGCTTCTGCAAGACTTAGGTGAAAGAATATTTCTTGCAGCAAATATCTGTGTATTGTGAACGTATCATATGATGGAGACTGTAGCACATTATTTATGCTCTACGAAATGATTAAATGACTGTCAATTGCTTTCAGTATCAAATTACTGCCTAATTCCATTAGCTACACACTGTTGCGTCCAGGATAGGATTCCGCAATGAAAACTTACCTTTTATGCAATTCATCCAGCTCATTAAGTAGTTGCTGGTTTGCTGAAGCAGGACATTGTTATCTCCCTCATATGTGCAGTTTGGATCATTGTCATTTCGGATTTCACCCAGACGATTCACTTAATAAGAACAAGTGCACAATTTAATATATTGCACTGTATTAATGGAAGCTAAGAGGGATGAAAGAATTATTCTGTGACAAAATGCAAGAGAGTTGTCTGTTCCTGTATGTATAGCTATTGTTACCAACAGATGAGCTTGGAAGTTCACTGTTTAGCTTATGAAAATTAATATACTGGAAAGATTTTAGAAAACTGTGGCATTCATCTTACAAGGGGAATTTTCATCTCTAAAGTCTGCATCTTTACTTTTGGAACTGAGACTGAATCACGTTATATAGTCTGTCCAAATGCTGGTGCAGATGCTGCACGGGTTTAGTTCTTTTTTGTGGTATCAAGTATAAAATGAACTTTAAGAATATGGATATGAGGAAAGAACCCCTTCTAAACACATCGCTAAAATTCAGACATCATGATGCAACAGTCAAAGAATACATCAACATAACCATTCTATTTCTGATCAGTGTATGCAGTAGTCTGTAACTTACTGGCAAGGTAACCATGTCCTCCACAAGCTTCTCGGCACTCCTGAGCTGCCTGCTGAGCAGTCCAAGAAGACAGTGGTTTGCTGGCAGCAGATAAGGCATGAATCTCACGTCCCAAATCAGCCTTTGTGAAAAACAAGTTACAAGTGACTAATAACTTTTACGCAAAGTAAGTTTGTGACCAGTTAAAGCCATAGCTATGTGTGCTGCTTTACAATGAAGAAAAGAGTAACTGCCAACACATACATAAACTTTTCTGAGAACTATGTAAGGGCAGAGCATAATTTTTGCTCCCACAAAAAAACCCTGCCGCAACTGAAAAACCTTCAGCACTAACTTTAGTATATAGGACAGCAATACAGCAATAATTTGTGCCAGGTAATGGACACATGGGTACATCTTAGCTCAGATGTGCCAGCTAACATGGCATTGCATGGGATAGTTCACTGCTCACCAACCTTTTCCTCCCAAAGATGGAGGGGCAGGTGGTTGAAGGTGGCATGTCTGGAGAAAGCTTCTGTCCCCTCTGCAACATAAGCCATCCTTCTCTCCCCAGTCAGCAAGGGGAATATTTACAATATTTACTGCCTTACATGGTTTCCACTAATCTTTTAAGCATCAATTTTGCAAAGAGTAGGAAAACTCAATTTCCAGAGTACCACAGTTGCCTGCATTTACACTAACTCTGCTGGCCTTCCTTTGAAAATGTGTTCGGAATTCTGGTTTCTGGAGATAGTAGGCTGATACTAACAAAGCTTGTTTAAGAATAACTCCCTGGATGGTTTTTGGGTTTTTTGTTTGTTTGGTTGGGTTTTTTTCCTTTTTTAAGACCTCCCATAGAACAAAAGGACTGTATAAGAACTATATTCTTAAAATTGTCAACAATCATATTTTTTCTGAAAGCCACTGTTTTGCCTAAGGTTAGTGACTGCATTGGAGACTTCTAGAGATAAAATATCATATTAAAATAATTCGACACATTCTTCTGTGGTTTGTGCAAAGAGAAGAAATTAGCATACCCAGCCATTAGTACACAAGTCTTTCATGAGCTTTATTTTAGCTGAAAAAAGCCTGAATGTTTGAGTCTGATCTGAAGTGTAGGCCCTAAAAATTAATATTGTCAAAATCAGAAAAAAAAAAAATTATATGCTATAACCCCCCCCCCCCGCAGTTATTTTGGTTGAGAATCAGTCCTTACACAGAGACAGATAGATCAAACCATTTCCTCTGTAAAGGGGTGACTTCCAGTGATCTGATGGCGGATGAAAAATTCAGCATTAAGACTCAAAGGTCTTAACTTTTTTCTCAAAAAATACTTACCCTAATGAATGAATATGAATTGCAAACTCAAGACAGACTCACATAGTCTGTGCAGGAATTAAGAATAGCATCATTTCAGAGTCTTTGGTATATGTCCCCTGCAGCATCATTTACAACAGTTATAAAATGAATTTGCATTATCATCATGTATTTACGATAAACAATTCTGCAGGGGAACATAACATTAAATCCCACAGAAATCAATAAAACTTTAACTACTCCATCAAAACTAATTTGGATGCTTTTCTGAATGCAACTTTAATCATTACTTTGCGTAGCCCATATTTCTCGAGATGTTGCTCTAGCATTCTTCATTGTAAGATGGACTAAGACTTCTAAGTAGGTCCTTCATTTAACAATTTCCAGTTTATTATGGTAAGAAGTCAGCTAAGAAGAAATGTGTAAATATCTCACCTGTCTCTGACTCCTTTGCTTTGTCAATAGGCCTGCATAAAATTCAACAAAGTTCTCAAACAGGGATTTGGAGAAATAATCTAAGGCATATGTGGCAGCCAGATAAGGAAGAAGACGCCATTGCTAGAATAAAAATTAAACAGATTTGATCACAAATTGTTATGTATTTAACAGTTATTAACTATAGTTAGCTATATTACCTATCTTATAATATTGAACCAACCCATTCGTTTTTACTTTGTTCAAATTGCAAAACTGTTGTACGAAGAAGAAAACTTAACAATAACCATCTATAAACATAATTAAGTGTAACTACTCTGTACACAAGTTAATGTTATTCTAGTTCATGCATTTTATGAATTTGTGATAAACATTCTATTAAAGCAGTGAGAAAGTTCACTGAAGCTTTGGGGTCCAATGACATATTTTTGTCATATATTTGTCTATACAATGTCTGGCATGCCGGGCCCAGTCATGATTCGTACCAACCAACATGACAACGATTCCAACTGTTTTACTTGCTTGTTCATTGCTGAATGTATGTTAGCACTGGTTGCATTCTGTAAAAAAATCCCAGGGCTAGGAAGCAGAGAAAAAAGCATCTTTGCTGCTCCATGTAACTTGGAGCCCATGAAAGAAAAGAGAAACTGCTTGAGGAAGCTTTTGTGGTAGAGCAAGAAAGGAATGAGAGGTTCAGCAAGCAGAGCCCACAGAACAAGCCAAAACTGAGCAAATTTGAGAGACTTGAAGAATAGTGGGAAGCAGACCCTGGTTTATGCAGAAGAGGTGGAAAGAAGGCAGCTTTTGCCAGTTTGTAGAAACTCATGAAATCTTTTAAAGTTGCAAGACTAAGTGCAAACCTGGAAAAAAAGCACCCACTTTGCAAGGACAAACTGGGTAGGTTTGTTTTCAGTACTTATATATTAACCTTTCTCATTCAGCAGATCTGAGTTTTCTTTATTTCCCAGTTACCCTACATACTCTTGTTCTATTTTTTCAGCGCAAAAGGTGTTCTTCATCTGCATAATCTGCAGAAAAACATTGGTTTTATTTGTCTCAAAATTAGTGCTAGCTTGAGACTTCACCACCATGAATGTCATTGATTTCTACATTTTTAAAGCATAAAGGCTAAAAAAGAGAAAATTAGCACAGCAGCAACAGAGGCACTTACATTTAAAAAAAACTCCACTAGTTTCTGCATCTGCAGTACTTTCATGTGTGCACAGAAGACAGCCTTTCTCTGAAAAGGTTACTATTTTAGAAGACAAATGTTTCTAGGTACTTCAGAGAAACATCAAGATTTTGGGTTTTCCTATTCCAAGAATTTATGTCAAAAGTCTGATCATACCAGGTGGTCCTGAGTTGGAATGAACCCCCACAGCTGCACTAGAATGACACTTCAGATGACATAGACAACTTTAATTTCACTAACTTCAATGTCACTATTTTGATCTGCAGGAACTCTGAATCTAAGTTTCATGGCATAAAAGTCTGTAGATGTGAATTACAAAGTATTTACCTGTGTTTGGTATTCAAGAACAGGTATTTCTTCTTCATCAGTTGGTCCAAACTGACAACGAGCCGCTGAGAAGCGAATGGCTATTGATAAGGCAAGTTTTAAATTGGTCGTGGAAACTGCCGTGATCAAAATTCTGCCAGTGGACAAGGATCCCAGACGCTCTTTAACATCCTGAATGAATAAAAGGCACAGACTGAATGGTGAGGTTAACATTTCATTTACCTCCGCTGTAAAAAGACAACTCTGGTAGCATGATCAGAAGCCCAGAGGTTTGGCCAATTTTGTTTCTTGACACATTCAGATAAGGCGTTCAAGCAAGACTCAAAGTAGTTCCTCTAAACTACTTTGGTATCAGTGAGGTAGCACAAAGAGCAAGAAGTCAGTAAAATCAGTAAGGTGAGTTAAGACATCTCTGAGAGGCAACTAAAAAATGAGCATTCTTACTATCTCACATGAAATCATCAACAGCCTTATTTAAGTCAAGGTATCTAGTACTTCCCAACATGAGAGGCCCATGCTCTAACTCTTAACGTACTTATACCTTTGTATATTTAATGAGATGTATTAATGAAACAAAAACTTGATTCATACCTTGGTTGAACTTGAGCACTTCCCCTCAGCTGTGACATCTCCAGCTGTATTCAGTATGTTTTCTTTAGGTATTCTGACGTTGTGGAACATGGCAAATCTGCTTAAACAAATACACAAGCAATGTAAAATCTACCTTGACATAGTCAGAGGTGTCTACATTATAGAAAAAAGGTCACAAAAAAGACACGATTGCACAATGAGCTCAGGCATATCAGTCAACTGAAAACAATGCCCATCAAACCTACGGGTAGGTAATTGTAGGAGGGTATGCCTGGGAGAATAAAGGCTTTCAGACTCAGGGCAGCAGAGGAAATTTAAGATGGGAAATCATTTGTTATAACTCTTCAGTTAGTATTTTTTTAAAACAAAGATTCTGCTTACAAAACCAAAGCAAACACCTCATTGACTCTAAGAAACCGTTCAGCAGCTTCATAAGTAAAAAAGTAAATAACTAAAGGAAGGATGAGCAATGTATTGTTTGCAGGGAGGGACAGGTAAAATTACTTATTAGAGACCTTATACAGAAGCAGTTTGACAGACACTTTCACCGACAGCCGAGAAACCTGAACTGCATTCTCAGTCTGCATGAGTTTAGGTAACTTAGCTTGATGTGTCAGCTATCGAAAAGCTTGGGAAGATGAACAACTTCCTTCTCCTGCTTAGAACCTGACTGGGCCATAGTGGCTCCTAATAATTCCCTGCCACAGACAATTCTGCTGAACCACATGCTTTACTGAAGTGTTGTTCAGTCCAGTCTGCAGAATGCTTTGGAACAGAGACACTATATATTTTTATGAGTCTAAAATATAGATCTGTGAGGATCATTCATGTTATTGCAATACAAATGAGGACATAGCTGAAATAGTGCCCTGAGAAGGAACTGAATGGAGAATTTTCCTTTGTTTAAACTCAGACTAGGATTTTTGTTTCCTGGAATGTGGCATCTTAAAAAGGAAGAGCAAGATAACCTTTTCTAAATTGTGACATCCTAGCAGCAATAAAGAATCAAGTTATTAGAACAGGCAGAATGTCCTGAGTATTCATATTCTTCAGGAAGAAAGTGTATGAACTGTTTCACTCCAATGGGCAATACAACTTGGCACAATAGCAGTAATAGCAGCTCCACTCACGAATCTCTCAGTATCTAATAGCACTTGAAGAGCTGTATTTGTAATCAAAGCAAATTCCTTTTTCCTGCCAATACAGGCTGATCTATTTAATAAGGCTCACGAGAGCCAGGTCTTTCACATTAACAAATTACATAAGGGCTGCATTGCTGCATGTGCTTTAAAGTTGTGAGTTGTTTCCAAGGAAACATATCTGCATACTGAATTTATTCAGCCTTAGAGATACACAGTATTTTCGGACTTAGCCACAGAGAAAAGCATGCTGTCCTAACCAAGAACCAGCTGCTTGCTGGCCTTAACCATGCTAAAAGTGCTTTATTAAGTGCCAGTTGCAGTGAGATAACACTACTTTGTAACAGAAGCAAATACGGAATTTCCAAAAATCTTATTTCCATCTTTGTTAATATTTTTTTCATATCACTGAAAATAAAAAATCTCATTTAAAAAAAGATCTTTTGGTTAAATTCACATTCTCTGCTCCCCAGATCCCAAATAGAATCCATGACAACTAAAACCGTATAGCAACTCCAATATTTTAAAGCAATAGCACGCATGTTAGACAGAACTTGAGCTCCTGAATTATTATTACTCATTACTTTAATTACAGGAGAGCATGTGTGGCAATGTTTAGGTCCCTCATTTAGCACTCTCTTTTCCTAGTACATCCACAGAGCTACAGGAAGGTGCTTCCTCCTAGGAGCTTACAATCCAAGCATAAGGCTAGAAGCTACAAATGTGTTCAAAGAAACAGTGAGGCAGACACTAACTACTGAAGAATATTTTCTTGGTATGGTATCTGCCAGGCACAGCACATTGGCAGCTAAGCATTGGCATTTTTTATAAGCCATTAGAGCAAATGAGAATTTTAAGGAGGAATCTTGAGCGATGAAAGTAAGGGAGCTTCATGGATGTTTATAAAGGGTCCTTCCCAGGTAGGAAAAGATTAATGAAAGCAAGCAATGAAATATTATTTTAAAAAGCTATTGAATGGGTGATAAAAACTGGAATCATAAACCAGACTAAAGGAAGAGTTGACCTAACAGAGAGATGATACAATCTTTGGAGCACAGATCAAGATGACGTTTCAAAGAGCTCCAGCTCTTGGGCCTTCTCTTTGCAAACACCTATTTGGAGCATGTCTAGTCCTGTGTGGGATGAACGGTAAGATTCGTGGTAGTAATGACAATGAACAGGATGGAAAATTGTCCTTTTGTTGTTTTACCCTGTAGTGATTAGTTCACTCAGCAATGCTGTGCAGTTGTAGAAAATTATTTATATTGATACCTGCTTGAAACTCAAGAGTTCTTAAACAGCAAATTCAAATCTACTAATATATAAATATATACACTAATAACCTACTTTTATGAAATTCAAGCTTACTAATATTGAACATGTGGCAGTTATGTGCCAACAAAACAGCTCCCAAAATGACCTAAACAGTTTTACCCACTTTCACCTGTTGTGATACAATCCCACGTAGTTAAACTTAGAGGACTTTTTTTGCTGGAAAGAGCGAAAAATCTTGTAGAAAGTTTTATTATAATCTGTCTGACATGAATACAATGTAGCTAATTCTGTATCACGTAAAATATTACCTAGAATTGTTTTGATTACAAACCATACGTATACCCTTCTTATAAAAATGTTTTTCACAGCTAGTGAACCAGAATACTAAATTTCCAATCATTATTTAACAATCTATTTTCTTAAAATCAAAATTAGTTCAAATAACAGTTTTTGAAAGTTTGATATTTTTCCTTCATATTGTCCATTACAGGCACATTATTTCCTTGTTTTTCTGTAAGCTGCTATCAAAATAAATGCATATATGATGGCAAAAACTTTAAGAAGCATAAGACAGAGACAAAACTAGCAATTAAAAATCACACAGAAAATTCCCATGCGTAAAGAAATAAGATATATTGCCTATGAGCACCACTGTTGAAAATAAAAGGAGAATTTCACAGGACCTATGAGTTAGGTGACCTTGTGAGATCATTGCCAGCTGCTGTTCTGCTCCTTCTCCAAGAACTTTGCTATCTGAAATCGTTAGACATACTGGACAATTTGAACTTGATATTGGAACATATTAAAAATAAATAGTAAGATTTAATGAAGTCAACGATCACATTTCTAATGCTTATTAGCCTAGAAAGCATAGCGAATAGACATGAACCACATCTGTCAACGCATTCAGAGGAAAAATCTCCTTAAAGAATTGTAGAAATACCTTACAATAATGGAATTGTATACACAGTCATGGGGATATCATGTACCAGTAAGTTTGGAAAATGGCTACATTTCACATGGTGATAACGAGACTATAGGCTTGAAAGCTACCCTACTTAGGACCTCTTCTGCATAGCAAATAGTGTGATGGAGAGTAAGACTTCTCAGCAAGACAGACAGATAGCTGTCACTTCAACTATATATCATAGGGCTCTAAAGCCGTGTGCAATTTTGCATCATCTGGCCTGTAAAAACCAACCGTATCACATAGATTTCTACCTACATTAGCTAGGCAGAGTGAAGCACTATTCCGATAGTAGCATTCTTGTTTGGGTCCTTTGGCCAGTAGTTTAGGGAACATTTCAAGCAAAGTTAATCTTATTGACTTTAAATCATACAATAGTCATTCATCTGGTGTGCAGTAATGCTGATAAAAAAGAGCAGCTGGAAAAGCTACCAGCTCCTTTTGCCAGTACTAAATTAATAAGCTGTTACCTAGAGTACAAATAGCTCAAACACGCTTTGCTGCATTTCAGATTCAGTAAAATGCCTTTCCTGCCAGCTTTTGTTATTGACTATGCTAGAGATGGTGCAGTGACAGTTCCTTCAGTCCTTCCAGCCAGAAACAGAAAGCAGGTGAATGGTATTGGAAGGCTGTGAGTCAAGTGATCTCACGGCTGTTTATGGGATACAGTAAGCCTTGGGAGGAATAACACTTCAGAAGTTTGGTGAAAAACTTGCAGAAGGAAAGAAAACAGCCACATATTCCAGACCGAAATTCACAGAAAGGTTAGGGTTGAGAAGACTTACAGAGAACTGGGGAAAACTGCAAGGCAATATTTTAACTCTAGTTTCTACAATCAAGGCTCTAATCTAAGAATGCAGCTCTGTACCAGTAATGCTCAATAGCAACGATAAAGCAACATAGCATTTTATAGGGCTTCTAATCCTATCTTAATGGTCTTCATGGACACACAAAGACCCACTCACCCTAAAGTTCTTATAGTGTAAGTGCCAGTCTTGCAGGAGTTCTGGATGTGCAGACTCCTGCAACTGTCAAGAGCTGAAAGACCTCTGCTAAGGAAGAAAAACGGTTGTTTGAAGTTCACTGCAGATATGAGGTTGTATTTCTGTGGTTGATAAAACAAATGCATGACCAGATCTGAATTTACTAATTTCCCTGTTAGCACCATCAAGTGTCTGTCAGTATGAACTGGCTATGGCTACAGAGTTTTGATGTACTTTTGAGTGACAAAAATGAGGGGATAAGGCAGCACTCTTTAGCAATGGGACTACATCTTAGCCATGTGCATAGCGCCATATGTACCCATATAGTGTCTAACCTTGACTGCAGAAACTAAGTGGAGAGGGCAAAACAGGGAAGTATGAATGACTCCACTGCAAAAATCATTGTTTTGACTTACACTGCAAATACACAAGATGTGTCTTGCAAAATATTTGGTTTAACTGTGGAAGTGGCACTGTTCACAAGGATAGAAGGATTGATGGTACTGTATTCAATTAATTTCAGTACAGGTATAGGTATTTTTAACTTTTTTTTTTATAGCATTACTATTGCAATTGTTTGTGACTCTGGTCAGAGGCTGCAAGACAATAAAAATATTAAAGAAGCATAAGCTTGTTTACTTGAGAAACAGGACTGATTTCTACAGTTGCTTTCTTATTCACATCCCTGTACTATCCCTTTCCCCGTACTGGAACAGCCTCTTTTGTGGCCTTGGAGTGAACCAGACCTGACAAATGAGCTGACTGAAGACAGCTGAATTTGGGGTTTTTTTGTCCAACTAGTTTTCAGGCAGTTCCCTAGGTGAGTCCCCTACACAAATGTTTGTCCCAGCACGAAGAAAGGCAGTGTATGAGTAGAAGCAAACAACCAAAGAAGCTGAGTATGGAAATGATCTTCACCTAGCTATTGCTTCAGGTTGTAAGGTGAAGCTCCAAGAGACTGTGTAGGCTTCAACCTATCTTCCTAGTGAAGTAACTGCAACCAGTACAAAATTTAAATAAGAGTTAAGAGGATAAATACTAGCAGACAAAAACCCTTTGAAGGACTAGACTTTAATTTGTTCTACCCTTAAACTAGCAGTCGCAGAATCTTAACGTATTATTGGCATTCTGATAGTGAAATAGTAACAAAGAAAAAAAAATAAATCATTTAAAAGTCATCTGTAAAGACTTGGAGGTTGCGTGATGTATGCCATCTTCCCCAATATACAAGGAATTGTAGTGAGGCATTTCAGAACCTGCAATCTCTTTCCAGGAAGGATTCTTTTACACAAATGATTGCTTTTCTGCCCAATAAATCTGCTTTACACATTTCCTCTTGAGTCTCTTGTTTTATTTTCAGGATCCAGAAAGCTGAATCTGGCCTCACTGATTGCTAGAGAACATGCTGAATGTCTTAGCATGTTGTATGTGTGGAGAGATTGATCCCATTTTAATTGTACACGATAGGTTGTTAAATAGCTAATAAAAACCTTCAGTTTTCCAAACTCTACCATTATAATTAGATACAGCTAACAATTCTTCTTCCCCCAGAAAGATACTTTTCTCCCCTTCAAACAAGTCAGTTAAAATAAATAGCTTTCTGTCTGGCAATGGTTTGCTGTATCTTTGATAGCTTGATTTCACTAGTTCTTCCTGTATAGTTTTTGTCTGCTCAACAAACTGTACACACATTATCAGTGGGTACAGCTGAATGAGCTCAAAGCATGTTTTACAGACAGGCATGTTAAGCACCACTTCAGAAACACAATTATAACTGATTTTCAAAGTCTTCCCTACGCAGATTCAGTTGGGCATCATTTATGTTTCTGGAGGGGAGAAAGCAGCAATTTGCTGCTAGTTGCAACTGGACATGAAATCGGTCCACCATGGATTCAGTGGCAATCATTTACTGATGTGTGCTGCAGCAATGGGTAATTTTGGTAATGTTACATTAGCCAGGGCAGACAAAAAAACCCAAAGGGAAGAAACAGAAATGCATATCAGCACTTACCCAAGCTCTTGCTTTATATCACTGTTCTTATGCCTGCCATTCATTTTACTGAAAAGCCCCTGGATCCCAAATACCCAGGATTTTTTCAGTGGTGTGCTTTTTTTCCTCAGCTACTTCCATTTTGAGACCTCAGTGAACAGCACACTTCAAAGACCGCCAGAGCACTAGGAACAGGTGGACAATTTTATATTATAAAAATAAAGGCTGAAGCACTTGCATCCCCTGGTGGCAGTCTGATTTATTTTTTGGTAACAAAATACAAAACCAGTCTAAACCCTCCCTAAGCAAAACTGGAGTTCTACTTTTAACCATTTATGTATTGATTATACAAATTGTTGTAAATTATAAAGCAAAATATTTTAAAATATTTTAAAGTGACGTCTTTTTTGTCAGGGTAACGGAAGTTACACAGACTTGCAAAACCCATGTGATTTTAGGACATTCCAATTATGAAGCTATGAGAATTATTTGGAAAGACAGACTTAGAAGGAGCAGGCTAATCAATTAGATTTACACTGCAAAAAATTCCCACATTACTTCTGAAATTCTTTCTCTTACTGAAAACATTACACTCTGCATTAGCAGGAAACCAGCCGTCAGCCAAACAACCCACAAGATTAATTGTTTTACAAAGCCAGAAGTGACAACTACAATCACCTACACTGTTCCCTTACATAGCATAAATAAGTGGCATTTTCCAAGGAAGCTCTGGAATTTCTTCCCCAGGTCCTACCTAACTGTTCAGGAGCTTAACTCTCTATACCCATTTTGAAAATTAGTAGTATATACTTCTTGAAGCGCAGGAACAAAATCTGACATCTCTGATCTTCACTCCGACCATTTATCCTGAGTGCAACTACATGGAAATATATCTGATTTACTAAGTGTCTATGGTAGTTGAATCAGACTTCACATATACACTCAAAAAACTGTCAAAGCGTGCAGTAGAGCCTAACACATGCAGTCACAGCGTAATTGAATGTTTTCTTGTCACCACATATAGCAGGCTTCTACAGTGCACAAGAACTGCAGGCTGTGCTTTCTCTGGGTTAACCTAGGATATAAGATTACTAAACTGGTTAGGAGAACACCTTGACAAGGCAGTGTCTGGTGGTCTAGGATGAAATGTCTCCCTCTGAATCTTGGCATTTTGCAGATCATGCAACCAACAGCCCATCTTCTAGAGTGGCACAGCTTATCCTCTCTGCAAACAAATGCAGAGCTATGAAGCTCTCCAGTCCCCATCCAGGCCTTCATGTACCTCTGAGAAGCAATGTGTACAAGTCCCAACACTTTTGACAGCTCCATGTGAGCAGGAAGGTTGCAAAGCAAAAACAAGTTCTCTGGTTCTAGCAAACAATGTTGGCATCTAGCCTCAGGTCTCTCCAAAGTAGCTGAGGTAGATCAGGAACCCAGGCTCCTACACTTTTCAGCTGAATGAAGGGTATCTGTTGGTAACCTTGGGCTCCCTCATCCCTCTGTCTTCAACTGCAGGTGCAGTCTTAAGCTTTCTCATGCAGGTACTATCTTAATCCATACTTAAGAGATCTAGATCCAAGAGTGGGGCTCTTCAGGCACTGTTGTTAGCAGAAAATAATAACGTTTTTTAAAGCAGCATACGCAAAGTAAACAGAAAGATTAGAATGCCCTATGATTGCTTTAAATGACATGTGATGTCATAACTAAGATAAGAGATTCCATCTGACACTAAGATAGGAAGTTATTGGTATCGCTTATTTACAGTGTATTATGTAGATTATCATTTCAGATTATTCAGTTATTACTGATATTTTAAGAAATGCTCTGTTTTCTCCCAGTAGATCAAAGGATAAATGGATTTTTAAATTATGTGCATTTTGATGCCATGTGACCAACACAGTCTTATCCTTCCTCATGTTGAGCATAAACTATGCTGCAAATTAAGACCTAACAGCAGAATTTGACCATTTCAACAGAAATATGAAGCTGAATTACATCTAGGTTACTCAGGCCCATGCTGCTGTGCCATCTGGTGGCTACCAGTTTGTAATGCAGATGCAGGCAAAAATATCCACCAAAACCAAATCCCCCTTCTTTTACAGGCCTTTTCTCACGTTTTTCCTCTATAAAACTTAATTTTCTATATATTTTTTAATATCTTTATTTCATCTGTGTCTTCAAGCAACAGAGCATTATTATTATGAGAATAATCTATATAAATATAAAAGTCAGTGCTATTTTTGCCACTAGCAGGCTCTTTGGGACATCAGGAGGAGGCTGGAACAGGCAATAAACTACAGAAGACCTATGACCTTCTGGAAAGCCAGCCAAAGCCACTACATTTGAAAGCAGGATACCTTAGAATGTCTATACTTTGTTTACTGCAATGGCATGTTATGAAGGACAATACACATATACGTAACAAACTGAATCAACAGAAAGAGGTAAAACTGAGGCATAAAGAAGTGACACCCCTCCCCCTTATTATTTTAGATCTCTGTCTTTACATAGAGCTATGTAACTAATACAGGGGTTTAAATCACAGGTTTTACACAATGGCTGTTTTAATACAGAAATCTACCTCAATTTCCCCACTGTCTCTCCTCCCCATCAGACGCCTTTGTTTAGTAAAGTAGAGACATAGTAAGGCCACTGAAGTCCGTGACTCAGAAATGGAGCCCAGGTACTTTTTTATTTCAACTGTACACAGAGAACACAGGAAAAAAATAACTAACCTCCTCCTCTTCTGCACTGAACAGGACTAGTCCAGAAATCCCATGGTTTAAACAAGATACCTAGTTTCTCTACTGGGTCTCATTAATCTTACATCTTTACTAACAATAAACCTTGTCTGTGGACTTCTGTTAGCCTTCCTGTGGGCTGGAAATCAAAGACAAAATAATTAAGGGTTTACACCCAGATGGGTGGAGAGGATGGTTCCGTTCTTTACTCAGAACTTAATGGATTTAGGGTTTTTTTTTCATTGTAATTGTTGCAGAGTCTATGACTGCAAGAATGCTCGGGGTTATTCACAGAGTATCAGTGGCACTTCGTGTTCTAAAAAGTGAGAGAAGCAGAAAGACTATAGTTATTCAGACAGAAAATACTGAAATTCAAGATTTTTCAATCTGGGTTTTTTTTTTTTTTTTTTTTCAGAAATACCAACAACTTAAAACCACTAGCAAATACCTCAGAAGTAAAGACAGAACTGACACAGGATGATATTTGCACCATTACAGTGTGATATAATCTAGAATATTTCCTCCTTCAAATGGATTGACTTACCCATGATCCAATCCATTCTGCCCAAGTTTCTTTCCTATGTCACCTACCATGACACCTGGCATTGGTAGGAGAGTTTTTGTATCTCGAATCTGCACAGAAGTGGAACAAAATATTATTTTAGTTGTGGAACAATGAAGGTTACTGGTTGAACTTTTCAAACAGTGAAAATATTCCCAACTTGTATTCTGTTATTAATTGCAAAGAAAGCTCTGTTTTTTTCAAGAACATAATCCTGAATATAACTTGTACTTACATATTCCCTTATTCAGGACACAGATCCCTTTATGAAAATTACTTTGGCAATATGACACTAATTACAACACTGTGTTAAATACAGCTTAACACTGATGACTGCTCTCATCAGACTGGCATTGAAACCTTCAGGCATACAAAGACGTAGTAGGAATCAATGGAACTTTTATGTAACAAACAGCTTTGAGATACTCCCTGATTTTGTAATAAATTCTGTTCAGTCTGCAACTAGCTCATTTTACTACGTACAACTTCTCTACTGCATTAATATATTTTCTAATACCTTTAATCTTATAAATTGATCTCTGTGGTAAAATTTTGCAGGTTTCATGCAGATCAGCCTGCAGCATTGGCAGACATAAATCACCTTAAGCCTCGTCCAAGACTTTCAGGACTTCATATAGAATAGTTTAGTCCTAACTATATAGGTAGTGGGATTATCTGGAGGCTTTTCAGCTCTTAGGTATTTTTCAGGTTTTTTGGTAGAAAACTGACAGTATAAAACTGGCTGTACAACCATCACAAAATCAGTGAACAATTAAAAACAGTACACTTGTTACAATTGCAATAAATGTTGAAGGCATTAATTAAACAATCTGCTGGTCAGATATAAATAACAGCACAACAGAAAGCCTTTAATTTGAACACACTCCCCCCCAAGAAAAAAAATATTAGCAATATTTCTGCCCTACCTGTACAATAAAGGAATGTAATCCTTGGCACTGTCCATCCGGAGTATAGAGCTGGGCGTACACAACTGCATGAGTGGCATGTTTCCCCATATTACCAACACAGAACTTTGCAGCTTCAAAGTCAGGAGTATTGATAATAAATTCCTGTAGCCAGCAAAGAAAGGAGTAAATGATATAAATCATAAAAAACAACACATGGCTATTTTGTTTTTTTTTTCATGACCATGGTAATATTTTGAAAACATCCATTAACTGCCTGGGTTTCATTCTGTACTCCACTCCAACAGCTGACATCTCTCTGTGTCTTACAATCTCTTATTGTAAAGCCTGAAATTCAGCCTTTTAATTGCTCATTTAAGCAGTTAAAAAAACTAAAGCAAAGTGATGGACTCAGAAGCATTTCCTAGCTCTTAGGTTAAGCTGAGCTGTGAGTCCACGTGAGGGACTGTGCGGGATGTTTCAGCTGTGAGGGCTGAAACCTATGCAGGGACCACCTCCTCAGGCAGTTCTGTATGGAAAGGAAGCCTGGTCGACAGTGTGAAAGGCAGCACACTTCCCAGTCTGGACAACTGAGGGACCATGAGTAGTGGGAATTCTGGAGAATATATGTTTCCTGAAATTCAGACATAGCTTCAGCATTCAGATTTTTAGATTCCAAATAGTGTGCTTTCTGGATGTAAAAGAAACCTGAACTCAGAGCTCCACGATCTTAACAAAGACTTAGCCATTTTGGTCACTTTTACTGCAGTGCACTCATCACGAGTCTATAATTCAATTTATTTAAATAGAACTTTTCATGCTGCCAATCTCACAAGTTTAGTTGTTTCTTTTTTTTGTTTGTTTTCTGGAAAGGGATCTGATCGTCCATGTTGCATAAATGCTCATTGAATTGCTTGTATATGAAAAAACACAGGCTGGAATGTTGTCCTACTGAAGAATATAAAATCTTATGTTTCAAATCTATGATTCTCATTTCCGACTCTTTTGAAGCCACTTCATGATGTGACATTGTTTGTTGACGGTAATAGCACCCAGTTCTGTATATTACAGTACAATAAAATGCCACAGTCTTTGGGGGAAGATGATGACCCTACCTTCTTGGGACATTAAATAACACATTTTAAATTCAACTTGGCATAAACCAAGCATGTAGATGACAAAGAGAGGGAGAAAGTTCTACTAGCCTCCTCTCCCAACTTCTATTTTCTTCTCCCTTGATGTAAAACTACGATGAGTTCTATTCATTTTTATTCAAAAAAATGTTAGGACAATTAATTTATTTCTGCATTAGTGTTGATTTCAGAAAACAAATTATTAACATTAAGCATTATCCTAATGGAAAAAGTGGTTTACTGTATTCCTCTCTGGGCCTCTCTGATAGTCATGTTATGTCTTTTTTATATTTCTTTTTCTCATCCTAATCTTTGTATATAAAGCCTTCATATTCAAAGACAAAAGACAATTTAATCTGCATGTACAACTATTCCTTAAGAGACACAACAAAGGAGAAGGATACTATCTTGTCGTGGTTTAGCCCCAGCCGGCAACTAAGCACCACGCAGCCGCTCGCTCACTCCCCAAAGCATGAAAACAGAAATTGCTGGGTTTATTCTATTTATAATAACGTAAATATCTGACTTTTTTCTTAACATCTGGAGTTGAACTTGATTCTTTCTTGTTACGTAAAGAAATCCCTGAATCATTCTGTCTTATTAGTAAATAACAGAGCTTAACAATGTCAAACATTATTCCTGTGCATTAAGGACTAACCTGAGTGCTACGATCAAATGTGGCAGTAGTCCGTATGCCTTTGATATTAGTTCCATGGCTGAGTTCAGTCAGAGCAAAACATCCAAAAATCTAAATAAGGAAGTATAAGGCACAGTTCAAGACCACTTTATTACAGCAATTAAAACTGTGAGATTTTCAAATGATTGCAAATTCATCTGTTGGAAAGTAACTTGCAATTGCAAGAAACCAATCAAATGTAACCCTGAGGCTAGGACATCATGCTTGCCGTGGAGTAACAGGCATTTTTTTTCCTTTGCTGATGGCTGACTCATTCAGGCAGGTACAGATTATTACATCCACTGACTAAGTTTTCAGGTGTCTGGGTTGAAACAACTGTTGCATGGTGAAAATCAGCAAGTCTGCTTGCATTACAAGCACTTCTGGGAACTCCCAAAGTTAGAGGAAAAATGGAATGAGGCTGCTTATTTTTTAAATTGCAAATAGCCTAGATTATTCAAGGGGATAAATTTACATCCGATCAATGTGTGTATACAGTTCGTTCTCAGCAGCATTTGGGAACACTGCCTGCTTCAATCCACACTGAAATATGCTGCTGCAACCCCTTACCCTTGACTGGTTTGGCCTGTAGTACATAGCCTTCAGTAACAAACCTTTGAAAAACAAGTGAGAAAAGAACAAAACAAAACACAAAACCGAAGCAAAATTATTCTGACAAATGCATATCCTAAGGCTTTTGCTTAGACTGAGAGTCATTAAAAAATTAATTCTGATCTTCAACATGGGGTATCCAATCAGAACTACATAGCAGTATATTGCTGTCTACGAGCAGACAGATAAACACATAATTTCAGAAAATTAAATAAGCAAGGAAGATAAATGGTTGGGGAAAAAAAAAAGGTGATAAATAATAACAAAAGAAGCATGAAGCTCAGTTTGGGTGTGTTCAGCACATATATCTTGCAAAATCAAAGAGTGTCAGGCCAGACATTGAATGCTGCCCACGTGGCCAAATGGCATAGATAGGAGAAACTGTTTAGGACTGGCTCTTTCTAAATCAGATAGGCTGCACTTATTCTGCAAGGTGCTTGGTCCTGAGTATCCACTGGACTCCAGGTGCTGTTTCTGTGGCATTAAGACATTATTATTTTCCATTCTGTAGCATCAGAATGGAATTTTTATAGCATCATGGCAAGGGTATGTGTTGCACAGTGTATGATGTAGATGTGGGAGGTAGGACTGTTTGAGCATGCAAAACTTGCTAGGATACTCTTAAATGACTGTGGACAAAGATCAAACTGGGGTAGTGTCATCTTATATTATCTTTTGGGAGAAGTCTCCAAACTTTGTCCACATGTTAACTTGGACTGTTTAAAACAGATCCAGGAAGTGGCATAATAGCTAGCAGTGAGGATAGTCAGGGGTCAGTGCTTGAATCTGCTCCTTGGTCTTGTCTTTTGCAAGTTAGAAGTACCTAGGTATATAAAGAGATCAGAAATAATACAAAGGTGCAGGTGATGCTAAGGTCCTGATAGTGCCCATTTCTTACAAGTTATATAAAAAAAAAATTACCTCCATGCTATAAACTTGTTTCACGAAGTCTGCAAACCTCTTAGAAGCACTCAAAATTGTACCTGCAAATACCTGTAAAAACAGAGAATTATGAATGAAATCAGTGACCCCGTGATGGAAAGCACAAATCATGCTTGCATAATGATTTGTAACAGTGATGTCTATTAAAGAGATCAAGGAAAGTAGGCTGCACAGTAAACTTCTACTCAGACTACAGCTGGAGGAGGTAAGTCAGGATTTAATCTTTCCAAGGCCCCTTTACAGAGGACCGAATTTTTCACAGCTCTGACCTGTTCAAGCCTTCATTGCAAACTCTTAAAAATGCTTAATGAGCTCACTTTCCACTTGTCCTTACTGATATCCCCTTGAGTAAAGTAAAACTTCTAAGACTATTCTAGTTTGTTTTATTAAAAATGGATCAGGAACTGAAGGTAGCTGCTTCAAGATCAGACAAGAACACTTTTTAAGGCTACCTTCAGTTTTTCTACATGGATATTCACATAAAAAACCTCTAATTCCCAGACCCCTGCCATGTGAATAGTAATAATTAATTAAAACTAATATTATTTCACCAGCTATGTCAAGTATTCTTTCTGAGAGACGCATCTAGGGAGCAACTGATGAACAGAATCACAGCTGCTGATGTCAGTGGGAAACTTTACACTGGTTTCCATTCCTTCTGGATTCTGCCCTGAATCAAGACACGGGGTTTTAGGCAAGGAAGTTTCTGATACCTATACCTGTAGCAAAGACATATCCACCAAATAGGGCCCAACAAACAATTTTTTTGGCCTCTACTGCCCTAGAGAGGCGGCAGAGGAGTGGACAAAAGAAGGTGGAACTGTGGGCATCAAAATGTCTTTCTGTAGCTCTGTCTATACTGCTCCACCTTTACCTTCCAGGTGGGATTCCAGTGGAGACAGGGCTTAATGACAAAGGTCTACAACTTCATCCCACAGCTCTCTGATTCTTCTGAAGAGTTAAACTGAATTCCAGTTTTGACAACAAAGGACTGGGAAAAAATATAGCTTTAACAAAAAAGCAACAGAATTATGATACTACAAGACACAATTTCAAATATACACCACTATACCCTTTGAACTGTACTTACACCGCAATGTAAGAAATACTGGAGACATGGAGACCAGTCGTACATTCCTATACAGATCACCATATTAAATATCTTTAATGGGTTCTCTATGATCTCTTGCTGAGTAAGAAAATCATACTCAAAGAGCCTTCTACAGCGTAGGAATGTCAGCTCCTGATATTTCTCATGGCACAAATCTTCCCCAGGATGATGTGCAAAGACAGGATCACTTTCCAGAGCAGAGAAGATTCTGTTCTTGAGGGGGAAAAAACTGACATGAGAATGTTAATCTAAAAGCATTAACAAAACAAGTTAATGTTCTTCTAGGATAATACTAGGCCTCAAACTACAATTGTTTGACAGAAGATGTAAATTTATAAAGGCAAAATTCCAGAGAATTAAAAAATGTATTTAAATGGTCTCTCACTATTTATAGAGTTCATGCAGCTGAATTTTATGAAAGCTCCTTCATCATGAAGTAGTAAGTGTGAGACTGATTCACTCTGAATGTCAGAGAATGGTATGGCAAAACTTACTTTTTATAGCAGCTTCATTATTTCACTACATGAAGCTGCTGTCAGGACCTAAAGGGCAATGGCCCTCATTCTGAGAATAAAGGTAAAACTCCAGGGGTTACATTCAGTTAGAAATATGACATAATGGTAAAGCCATTAAGCTACCACAACTGCTCTGTTCCCAGATGAAAGCAGAAATTTACTCCATTTAATGGTACCATCATATGCAGCCACTCAATACAGGGATGTGCATCTTTTCATGTTTTAATTTGGATTTTTTTTTTGTTAGATGATATACCATGGCACTTTGTTACCCCAGATCTTTGTGTCTTCAAGATATCCAAATCATAGAATGATAGAATCATAGAATGGTTTGGGTTGGAAAGGACCTTAAAGATCAGCTAGTTCCAACTCCTCTGCCATGGGAAGGGACACCTTCCACTAGACCAGGTTGCTGAAAGCGCCATCCAACCTGGCTTTGAACACTTCCAGGGATGGGGCATCCACAGCTTCTTTGGGCAATCTGTTCCAGTGTCTCACCACCCTCATAGTGAAGAATTTCTTCCTTATATCTAATCTAAATCTACTCTCTTTTAGTTTAAAGCCGTTACCCCTTGTAATGGGTAAAAGGTAAAGGTAACTTGTCCTATCACTACATGCCCTTGTAAAAAGTCCCTCTCTGGCTTTCCTGTAGGACCTCTTCAGGTACTGGAAGGCTGCTATAAGGTCTCCCCGGAGCCTTCTCTTCTCCAGGCTGAACAACCCCAGCTCTTTCAGCCTGTCCTCACAGGAGAGGTGCTCCAGCCCCCTGATCATCTTCGTGGCCCTCCCCTGGACCCTCTTCAACAGGTCCATGTCTTTCCTGTGCTGAGGGCTCCAGAGCTGGACGCAGTACACCAGGTAGGGTCTCATGAGAGCTGAGTAGAAGGGGAGAATCACCTCCCTCAACCTGCTGGTCACACTTGTTTTGATGAAGCCCAGGATATGGTTGGCTTTCTGGTCTGCAGGCGCACATTGCTGGCTCATGTTCAGCTTCTCATCAACCAACGCCCCCAAGTCCTTCTCCTCAAGGCTGCTCTCAAGCCATTCTCCACCCAGCCTGTCTTTGTGCTTGGGACTGTCCTGACCCATGTGCAAGACCTTGCACTTGTCCTTGTTGAACATTATTAGGTTTGCACAGGCCCACCTCTCAAGCCTGTCAAGGTCCCTCTGGATGGCATCCCTTCCCTCCAGTGTCTCAACCACACCTCACAGCTTGGTGTCGTCGACAAACTTGCTGAAGGTGCACTTGATCCCACTGTCCATGTCGCTGACAGAGATGTTAAACAGCGCTGGTCCCAATACGGGCCCCCAAGGAACGCCACTCATCACTGGTCTCCACTTGGGACATCAAGCTATTGACTGCAACTCTTTGAGCATGACCATCTAGCCAATTCCTTACCCACCCAATGGTCCATCCATAAAATCCATGCCTCTCCCAATTTAGAGAGAAGGATGTTGCATGAAGAGTGTCAAATGCTTTGCACAAGTCCAGGCAGATGATGTCAGTCGCTCTTCCCTTATCCACCAACACTGTAACCCCATCATAGGCGGCCATCAAATTTGTCAGACATGATTTGCCCTTAGTGAAGCCAATCACCTCCCTATTTCCCATGTGCCTTAGCATAGTTTCCAGGAGGATCTGCTCCATGATCTTGCCAGGCACAGAGGTAAGACTGACTGGCCTGTAGTGTCCCGGGTCTTCCTTTTTTCCCTTTTTCAAAATGGGGGTTATGTTTCCCCTCTTCTGGTCAGTGGAAACTTCACCAGACCGCCACGACTTCTCAAATACGATTGATGGTAACTTAGCAACTTCATCTGCCAGTTCCCGCAGGACCCATGGACTTGTTGTTCACCTTTAGGTTCCTTAGATGGTCTAGAACCTGATCTTCTCCCATAGTGGATCTTCTTAATTGTCCTTGATATAATTTAGAAAAAAAATGCAATGCCTTAGCCTAAATCTTTTAAAAAGGTTTTTGAAGTCCCTTCCTCTTCTTTGAAGAGAATGACACAGTAAAAAAAAAAAAAACCCAGAAGATCTCCAGTGCTTTTCTTTGAAAGGCAGGGTCATTCCCTCCCTCTGTACAAACAACACTGTTTGCCCATACAGCTTTGAAACTCCCTCAGACACAAAGCACTTGTGTTTCTTCTATAATCTTAAGTATATCAGTCAGATGCAGAACAAGACATTTCTGATTTCTCTGATCCACCTTCTAAGATTTTAATAACTACGGAGAATGTTCAAGATTAGCTTAAATCCATATAAATCCATACCACCTTTGAAAAAGTAATTTCTGTGTCCTCCTACGTCACCAAGTCATGCATTCCCACACCATCTCTCGTGCTGCAATTAAGCTCTTTTTTTGGTAGCGTTAGCTTTCAGCAAGGTAGGTATGCTAATCTCTCCAACTGCAATGCTACATAAGCATTAATGCAAGCACAGAAGATCATAGAAAATTATGTCAGGTCAGAGGAAGACAGAAATACTATGACAGTGGAATGAACTGAGCTCAGCTTAAGTGCATTGTAACACCATGGGATATATGATTTAATACAAACAGTACAATAAAGAAATACAGTAGAACACAGCTCTTTCTCAGTTTGAAATGAACACTGAAGTTCTGTAATGTAGCACCTCCTGGTCTCCCCAGTAATGAAATGAACCTTATGAGACAGCAAAGTAGGTTGCTTACAAGTCCAGTTCTTCTCTGAAAACTGGATGTGCAAAAACAATTTCTTCATGCTGTATATCTACAGAGTATTATTAAAGTAAATACTTTCTCTTTGAAAATCACATACTTGCTTCTACTGGTATCTCCAAAATAAAAAACTGCTTACAATTCCTGCAGAGTTTACCTTTAGCTGGATGATATCTTCACCATCTAGTAACATGGCCATTTCCTTCCAGTTAAAGGAAGCTTTCTTACGATATTTGCAAAGCGGTCCTTTAGGGAAATCTGGTAGCAAAGCATCCCACGAACTTTGGTTGTCAGCGGCTTCTTTCAGATTCAGTGGGGATGCCATTGTTAGCTAAACTGCATCAAACAGGAAAAGATATATCATAAACTAAAGTATTGCATAAGTCTAATTTTTTAAAATAAAAAGAAATCAAAAGGGCTGTTAATTAAATCCATATACTTCTTCAAATGTATGACTACAGCAGTGCAGGGCCAATGAAAAGCTTGCCCATCCATTTTTCTAATTCACTTGGCTTGGTACAAGCTAAGAAAAAAAAAGTGCCTTTGATCAAATGTAAATTAAATACATGGTCTTTGTTATTAAAATATAAGCTAAATCTTTTAAAATAAGCAAAATACGAAACAGGGACATCAATACTGCAAAATAAGAAAGTGGAGATGAGATAAAAGATCCAGGTAAAAAAATAGCATGTGAGTAACAATTAACTCATTTTTAACTTAAAAGCAAATTAATAAAATATAAAAGCACCCAAACATGCACACAAAGCCCTGTTCAAATGCAGGAGAGGCTAGTATTATCTCCAGGTTACTAGTTAACACTTAAATAACTTTTAACTAAATGGTACGTTGTTTATATGTTAAGGTATGTCTTTATATAACTGAAGTGATGAGCGATTGTTCGTGCATAAACATGAGACAGAAGACATCAGGGAAAAGGTAGGAACTCTGCCCTCACCTTCCACTGGTTGAATATATGAAAGAGTAAGTGGGTAATAAAACCTTTATTTCATGCACCCCCATTGCCAGAAACAAACTTATGTAAAGTTCTGCACATTTACATTTCCTCTGTCTGATTTAATCTTGTCCAGAACTGGGTTAGCTCCCACAGATCCACTCGACTATGGGAGCACTACGCTAGCTGGGTGTATCTGCCCAGGCCATTAGGAGTACGGTGCAGAAATAAATAGGTGGCTTTACACAGAGGAAACAAACGCCTCCATCTCTGTACACTATTCCACTGCTTTGGTATGGTGAACATTTATAATTGTGAAACTAGAACGATCTCAACATGCTGTCCATCACTAACATTGACTTGAACAGAACATGCAAATGGGACAAGCAGGAGGTCCTTTCTGCAGTGGGTCTGTGAAAGGTCCAGATTAAATCTGCATCAATGAAGTAAAATGAAACCTTCACCATAGTGACTTCTACAACACACATAAAACTGTAGGACCTTTCTTCTACATCGATGACGCAGTCCTGGAAAATTATAAGCACATTGGTATGCGCTTCTCTTAAGTGTCATATCGCCATACTCAAGAATAAATTTAAAATAATACAATGTATGAATTTTGCAGCCACACTTAAACTTCACTTTTCCTTCTCTCTTCCCTAAAGTTTAAATTTTAATTTCTGTTCTGTGGTGGCTTACAACATTTTTAGTCTGTCTTCCCACTAAACATTTTTTCCTGAACACACTTATTTTTTCTGTGCAGAGTTGACCTGAGACTCTTGTGTATGTGATCAAAAGCCACTAAGGCCCTGTGAAGTCTGCTGGCATTTTGTCTGTATATATAAGGGTCATGAAAGTGCACTGCAAAACTTCACAGACCCCGCAGGATTTCATTATCAGTAGGTACAACCGCACTGGTTTTGGAGAGAAGGGGAATCTCTCTTTGTGTTAGAACCTGGCTCAAAGAGTAAAGGCTTTTGCCTCTGCTGTTTCCAGAAGCAGATGTTGGAATGTCCTCTGCTGCTACCTGCTCATATCACACCCAGCAATTTCTGTCACCTCATGCAGATGGCAGAGATCTGTGTTATGCTTGTAAGATGCAAAAATGATCAGGCAGGGGAACAGAAGCTGGGCGCCACATTATAACAAGGGGACTGGCTGGAAGAAGCAATTCTCAAAGGTACTGGGAGGGCATCCAGGCCCAGGGCTGGCCAAGGGCTCAGTACGGACTATGAACATAACCAAGTACAGAAACTACTAGCTTGGCTTCTACTTTTTCTGTCACTTTTCTTCTTCATTATCTTGATCTATCTCCTTGCTACATTTCTTTTCTTTCAACCTAATCCTCTTATGGAGGTCATTTTCTGTTCTGGACAGTACAAACATAGTAGAAGAGGATAGTATTTCTGCATGTGACTTCCAAATTCTTTCCAGGAAGGTGCAGTTCCAATATTGAGCAACAGGATTGGAAAGAAAAGGTAGGGGGGGAAAGACCTTGAGAAAGAGCATTTCAACCTGAAGCAAAAAAAACAGACATTACTATTATAACCGGAAAACTAATAAATCAAGCAGAAGTTCAAGGTTTCTGTTTCAGAACAGAGAAAAATTTTACATCAAAATACTGCAACTAGTGCATCTAACTTTATTTACATTGCAAATCAATGAGATTGCTCAAATGAGAAAACTTAAACATCCATAAAAAATGACCCTGTACTTCAAAAAAATTACAAGTTCTCTGTCTTCACACAATGCTTTAATATAATTTGGTTCCAAGCAAACAGTTTCAGAACTACTCAGGAATCGAACACAGGACAGCCCTGAAGAATAACCTCAGTGGTAACTTCAGCCCTTTGCTGACATTTTGATACCTGCGTGTGGATGCGGCTGTAAAAAGTAACCCACATTATTTTCAACTTGCTGAGAACTGCTGCGGTTTCTCTGAGAAACGCCGAGTTGAAACCCTTTTTATGCGGAAGGCGCCCCTGCTAGCGACTCCAATTCACGACTGGACAACAACAACGGAACACAAATCCCGGGGGAGTACTTCAGTTGGCAGTGTATTATCGACAATTATCTTGCATAATGCTGACACAGACCCTTGGTAGCCGTCAAGAACAACGACACTGTACCCTTATTTTGTCAGAAATACCGTTACTCGCAAATGCAGAGCCGCTAGAAAATAAAATAAAAACCTGGTGAGGGCAGTTGCCCAGAGAAAGACAACACCGGAGAGGTTAAAGGCAGGGAACCAAACCCCTTCTTTAAGAGCCTGTCGAGGTTTCGTTGGAAAACCGCCATTTGAACTGCCCGCATTCAGGGCGGGGCCTCGCTTCTGCTCGGAGGGGAAAAAAACCCGAAAGAGCTACGTAGTGTACTGGTTGTTACCACAAAACATGTACCCAGGTTTGTTTCCTCGCGGAGTCGGGCTGCTGGGGGCCCGGCAACCAGCGTTCCCAGTCTTGAGCCCGCTTTCAGAAAGGCGCTTCTACGTTGTCACAACGATACAGCCCTTCCTCAAACACAAGCTATAAACACCGTACCAGCCCTTCAGCCTACGGT